TTTGGGGGGGGAGCTGGCCCTGTTGGCCACCCGGCGTTCCGGGGGGGGGGGGGGGCGACGCGGGAAGGGCGGAGCCCCGTACCGCGTGGGGGCGTACACCCTCGAGGAGCGGGCGGCTTTGGTGGCCAGGTTCCACGCGAAGCGGGGGCGGCGCATCTGGAGGAAGAAAATCAAATACGACTGCCGGAAGAAGCTGGCGGACAAGAGGCCGCGCCTGAAAGGCCGCTTCGTGACCCAGGAGGAACTGGAGGGGCTGGACCAGGAGACATTGGCCAAGGTCACCGGCCTGGGGCCCTGGCCGGAGGACGAGGACGAGGACGAGGCGGAGGCGGGGGGTGACGCAGAATCGCTGTCCGATAGCTCGGAGGGTGACGGGGGTAGCCCTGCTGCGCGCCCGACGGCAACACGGTGTCGTAGTGGCGGTGCGGGGAAGAGCAGCAGGCGGCGGAATAGTACCGGTAAGGCGGGGTCCCCACGGAAGGCGAAAAAGGCGCGCTGCGGCGGGGTGTCGAAGGCTGCTGCGGCGGCTGCCGCTGCTGCTGCGGCGGCGGCAGCGGCGGCGGCGGCGGCAGCAGCAGTGACGTCCATGGATGAGGACGAAGAGGAGGAAGAGGACGAGGAGTTGGATCTCGATGACGACGATGGGGACAGCAGTACCAGCGCGGCATCGGAGGACAGCGTAGGCGGTGAGGAAGGCGGGGACACGATGAAGAGGGTGAGCAGCAGCTGCAAGGTGTCGGCGATGTTCGCCGTCAAGACAGAGGCGGACATGGACATGCCGGACCACCAGGATCACCAGACCCCGGACCTGATCGAGCCGCAGCAGCTTGTGGTAGAGGAGGAGGAGGAGGACTACGAGCATGATGACACCGTGGTCGATGCTGAGGACTACGAGCCGACCGACCCGGTCTTCGGTTTCATGATCGACGACATACTCTCCAGCAACTTTAACGTCGTCCCCAGCCGAGACAGCAGTTCTGCGGCGGGAGTGGCGGTTAATTAAGTTGGGCGGGGGGGGGGGGGGGGGGGGGGACCCCCAAGGGGGTTTTTTTTTTTTGGGAGGAGGGCCGGGGGGGGGGTGGGCCTTTTGAACCCAAAGGGGGGTTTCCTTTGCCGGGAACCTTTTTTGTTTGGGCCCCCGAAAAAA